TGCCTGTTCAAATTGTTGTAATCTGCGCTGTTTGATACATTGTAACCTGATGCTCTGAAATCCAAGAGAAACAGGCCTGTACAATCCAGGCTTCCAGAAGAAAGGATGTTCTGATATGTTAGAATGAAATGTTTTGTGAAATGCCATTTTTTACAAAACACATTATCATGTCCCGTGCGAAATTAAAAGTAAACGCTGACAGTTTTTTCACGTGAGTCGTTAATCAGGTGAGTCAATAATCACATGACTCTCGGGAGTCGTTAGTCACGTGACTCGTTTGTCAATTGCTATTTACTTGAGTCGTGAGACAATCTGTAGTGACGTGACTCATTAGTCAAGTTAAGGGGGTGACCGTGGCTCGCTGGCTTAAGAGAGTTGTCTGGTAACCGCAGGGTCAACAGTTCGATCCTCGACTGGGACGTGTCACGTGTCGAAGTGTCCCTGAGCAAGACACTGAACCCCCGGCTCCCCGGGCGCCTGTCATTGGCAGCCCACTGCTCCCTATATACAGGGATGGGTCAAATGCAATGTCAAATTTCGTGTATATGTATATGACAATAAAAAGGGTTTCTATTCTAAGGTCAACCATGCTCCTAAACCTAACTAAATTGTTCTATATTTGGTCGGTCTGCACCGGCTACGGGGGGTGGCTTGCTACAGTAGCTAATGATTGATCTTCCGTGGTGCGTGGCCGTGCTTCTAATTTTACAAGCCTAGCCTCCAACACAGCAAATAAACTACACTTATTACAAGTACCATTATCACTATGGAGGCGAAGGAATAGCTTAACATGTGACAGACCGAGCAAGAGAGAGTAGAAGAGGGAGAAGGAGAGAGGAAAGCCATCGCTAACTGCTTTGCTAAAGTACGCAAGCTAACGTTAACAAAACTGAACGACGTGTAAACAGCTGCTGGATTTAGTGATCCAACAGCTTTAAAACCTAACATATATTTAGACTGTTTTTCTCCCATCACCCTTCACCAATTGACTTCAACAATTTCTACATCCAAGCCGTCTATGAGTGCTTAAGCAATGAAAGTACAGCAGTTAATTAGCCACTGTTGTCAAGAATATCACACGACTAACTGGTAGTTAAATTAGCTAGAAAACAGATGCTGGCAACCGGAAGTAAGTTTACCACAGCACGTTAGCACGTCTCCTGGGCTGATTCTTTCTAATATGCATTTGAAGGATATGTCCAGGACGTTAAACTGATTCAGCAGCAAAAAAAGGTTAAAAAGATAAATACAGAAGCTAAAGATGACAGTGTACCTGGCGATTGAGAAGATCGAGAAAATTAAAGAACAGCACTGTCCTGTAAAGCCGGGTAGGGTTTATTCACTATAACAATAAAAGCAAGAGCAGCATGTATATACATTCAGTTAACCTTCAATAGTTTGCGTTACATAAAAGTGCTAACGCTCCTTCCAACCAGTCCGTATAACGAGTATCACTGTTACACAACGTTTAATCACAACAAGCTTGAAATCCACAAAACCAGCCTGAAAATGAAGAAAATCTGAAGTCAGTAATATCTCACTGGAAACAAAATGACAATAAAATAAACAACATTCATGAGTGAAGTTAATAAAGAACATCAGATATTATCAGTCATTCCTCCAGTCCTCTGTCCTCCAGTTTTGTCTCAGCCAGCATAGAAGTTTACAAGAACAAACTAAGATAAACAGGCTACAGACAGTCAGCTTCTCTTTTAGCTTGTTCCTGAAAAAAAAGATGCTTTTGGTAAATAATGCTTGCTGTGCTTGGGTCAATTGCATTGAAACGGTCTTTAACGTGACCGCTATGGAGATTTTGGAATATTGTATGCCATCAGTCAGACAGTCGAAAGTGAATCCTTTGTTTTCCTCACAAAAGAAACTATTCTGATCGAGATCTGATCAAATATAATGATAAAGTGTATTCATATAACACTTTATAAAGATCAAACTGCTTTACAAAAGAGTACAAGTTAAAGTATAAAAGTTATACAAAGACTTAAATCTCCAATTTCACGTACGCTAACAATGTTTTGTGCAGATGACCTTTTATGTTGCTCGATGAATAAATACTTCCAGGTTGTGAATAATATTTATGTATGTGTCATCTTCAGTTACCCCTCTGTCATTACCGACCAAGCAAGATACCTCAAAGCCATTCGTTCCTTTGGCATTTCAGTAGGTATTCTAGGTTTGCACACAGTGCTCGAGGGGAAGCTCCAGTCCCGACTGCAGCTTGAGAGGGGAGATGACTAAAGTAGCAAAAATGTACATTTTGACTTAATTTATGTTTCTCACAGACTCACAAGACTTGCAGTGCGTGAAAGAAAGGTGCTCAGTCTGCCTTTGATATTGAATATGACCGATAAAGGAGACCGCTTTACAGAGAGAGAGCAAATACATAAATGCTATCTTGGCGGAACTCAGTTTGCACCATGGTGAATTTAAGTCACAACCACAACGTGCCTCACTCAAATCGATGAGGTCCGTAACTCTCTCTGCAAATGGTTGGACTGCAACGTGGAATGTCTTGAGCAACTTATCAGTGAAAATCAAGAGGAGGTGAAAGCTGAGATGGACAACAAAGTAAGGCAAGTTCAAAACAGTCTTGATTTGGAGAGTGGACAGCTTTCTACTAGAATAAAACGCCTGGACCAACTGAAAACCAAAAGAGCACACAGATGAGATGGCCAACCTAGTAAGGCAAATTCAAAACCATCATGATTTGGATATCGGTCAGCTTTCTGGTAGAATGGACAGGATGGAGGTAAAACTGGATTGCAAAGGACCCGGCCCTCAAATTCCAGTCTAACGAACCACACACCGCCTCTAGCAAGATCTTTTTGCATTTTTACATGGCTGAAGGTAGGAATGGGTACTGAAACCCTGTGTTAAACGGGCCCTGGTGCTAAATTATTAAAGACCAGAGTATTGATAAGCCCCAATGTTACTGGTGCTTTCTATCTTTCTAATCTTTGATGTTTTGGTGTAATTCATTATCACACTGCAACATACATCTCCTCTGCTCTCTCTGTCAGGGCTGAGCTGAGCTCTACTATACACAAAACACACAAGCACAGACACTCGGAGGGAAGTCAGCGAGCAGAGAGAGGTGGAGACACTGAAGTGAACCAGGTGAACTGAAGATTACTTGAGTTGATGACAAATACGCTGTTTACCGTAAGTGTAATAAAACATTTGCGAGTAAAAAGACAATGCTCTATCAATGCATCTGTCTAACAAGCATGAACGTGTAAACAAAAGCGAAACCTAATTTAATCGGCTCTGTCCGCAGTCTCTCATCCACCCCAGCTATGTTTCAGGCAAGTTGGCACATTGCAGGATATCTTGGCGTATTACCACCGCCTGTAGATCAGTGGAATAATGTGAAAATTATTTATGACATGTTTTGTGTCTTAAGAAAGTTTGAGATCTTCACTTTAAAATTAAAACCTAGCGGTGGGTTTAAACAATATGTGGAAAGAGTTTGTAATGACCAGCCCACTGCCATATCAGTAGCTTTAAAACACACAGATTAAGGTTCTGATACCTGCAGAAAGAAAGCCTAAGACTGACCAATCACTGTGAACCAGGGGCTTGTTGCACCAAATTTGTGCAGCATGCAAGTTGCAATTTGTATCATGAAGCAATTTCTCCAAACACGCAATTTTTTAACTTAGAGGTATCTTTTCATTAAATTTGTTGGAACATACTAATCCAGAATCTCACAAACATTTTGTATGTATGTGTCTCACCTTCTGTCGAGGTTCTCCCTAATGTGGGTTAGGCAACCATTTTGAGAGTTGTAACCTTTGACCATCAACATTAGCACCTGTGTTGGCACACTTCCACAATTAGCAACACTGAGTGGCTTCTTGGAAGATTATCGCAATCAATTTTGAGAACCACTTCTGAGAAAAGCATTTATTTTGTTTCACCATCACTCTTGCTGATTACCAAAGAGAAACCATCACACGTATGCTCACAGTTGTGTATGTTGAGGGGGGGGGGGGGAAAAGAATATTCCTACAGTATAACCCTCCAATCAAGAGCTGCAGAAACATCTGCTACACCAGCATCTGTAAAGTTCAGCACTGACTTTCAGAGAACTGCCAACCCTACATTTAAGTCAAACATGGGAGAGGACAAACAGCATCAACTACGTGGGTAGTTATTTCTCTTCACCCCCAGTGTCTGAATAAAGTCAGTTTTGCAACACATTTCTACACTGTGCACACAATGAGGAAGCATTCACTGCTTTGCCTTTCAAAGTAAAATGTCAATGCTTCTAGGCCTCATGGGTTACTTGTATTGGCTTTGAAGAAATCACAAAATTAGGAAGAAAATGATTTAAAAGATAACATGAATAAATCGGTATGAATTGGTTTTAGAAGGGCTAGCTTTTACTTTGATGACATGTTGCAAATGCTTCCTCACACAGGTGGCTAAGGGGCTAGAGAACACTTAGCTCCCCCAAAATTAGACAGCTTGTTCAAATTTAATTTAAAGGATCGGCAGTTCGATCCCTGGCTCTACTAGTCCATGTGTGCTTGGGCAAGACACTTAATCCCAAATTACTCCTGTAGCCGTGCCTATGGTGTGTGAATCCGATATGAATGTTAGATTGTCCTGATGGGCAGGTGGCACCTTGCATGGTAGCCCCGGTCATCAGTGTGTGAATGGATGAATGAGGACGTAGTGTTAAAGTGCTGCGAGTGTTCGGAAGACTAGAAAAGAGATATAAAAGTACCATTAAAAAAAAAAATAAAAGTAAATAAAAGACATAAAAGTACCGTTGCTTCTGCACTGAGACCGGCCATTGGTTATCTTAGAAAGGGCATAGATTAGGGTAGAACCAGTGTGCCGAGACATAAAGACTTTTATTATAGTTTGCTTTTACATAAAATCATTTCTACAGAGTAAACTCAAGCGGGTCTTTGCAGGCTGATACAGCTTTCAATTCACATCAGGTAGTGGCACTCCACTCCTATGACAGCACCCTGGCTCCTCGTGATGCCACTTCCGCCAGACACTTCGGGGTTGTGGACCAGTGTAAAAGCATAAATTAAGGTATTCTCGATCACCTAAGGAAAAGAGAACAAGTTGACATTCCTTGACTGAAAGTTTAATATCAAGGCATTATATGAATAAAAACCTCACCACTCGTCTGCTGCCACACCTGTGCAGCTCATACTCAAAGGCCAGCACATGAGCCAAGTTGTCGATCTCAGTGGCTGAGCAACCACCGAGTGTGAGATCCCCTGGGTTTATCAGCTTGCCAAGGCCCAGCAAGTCCTGGCTCACTTCCACCTGGATCCTGCTTTCCCCACACCTCACAGCAACACGGTTGGCCGTCGCCGGTTGCCGCAGTACATAATTGACAGGGGTCTCTCTTACTGAATCCACTGGATCTTCTGGAAATGTCCAGGACAGCGGTTCGACTGCTGGCTGGATCTGCTCTGCCTGGAGCATGTCAGCTTGTTGAGTAGACTCCCTGGAGTGGTCTCTCTCAGGTTGTGCTGCTGGTTCATCCTTAATGCCCCAGTAGTTTGGCTGGCTCATAATGAGGACTCGAGCATCACTAAAGCTGACACACGCAAGCACAAAACCAAACACAACAAGCTGACTGGACCCCATTGTTGCAAACACAGAATGTTCTCAAGCATGGCCACTGCAAGCATAAAAAGGCAGAGACTCCTCCCTCTGACTCGTTAGATGGATCCCTTTGCACATGTGTAGATCTCAAAGCTGCACAGGCCTTACTAATTAAAGACAGGAGTAACCAATTTAACCAGTAACCAATACTTTGTACCTCTACTCCATTACATTTTAAAAGGACAATATTGTACTTTCATTATTCAATAAGAGTAACTATAATAATAGTTAATGGTTACGTTACAGATTAAGATTTTATATATACAATGGAATATCAGATTATTTTATCAAATGGGGCTGCAATTAACAATTTTCATTTTCTTAATTAATCAATTAATTGTGTGATTTATGAAAGATCCCAAATTTGTGAGAAATGTCATTGCAGCCAAGAACAAGGTAACGTCTGGGTGACACATTACACATTATGTGAAGGTGAAAAGAGAAATAGCGTTTCCATAATTTTACTAATTTATTCACTATGTTTTTTACATCTACAGTTAGTTCATTTTTATGAATATATTTGCTCAACTGCAGCGTGAAATTGTTTGCATAACCTCTCTGCAACAGTTTCAGCACAGTGCTGAACCGATGGTTCCAGGACATGGAAGTGTCTCCAACCCCGGAAAGTAGATCAGTGACCTGTGTCCTTTTCCTGGTGTTCAGAAACCTGTAGGATCGTCAAAAGGACTCAGAGGAACAGTGCCAATCTGCCTTGAGCTAAGGAGGCCTGTAATTGATACTAATAACGTGTCATTCACAGAGTAAATTAGAGCAGAGCCAGTCAGAAACAAGTGAAATTGAGGTAATATGTGTCCATGCAAATTACTGGCATTGCAGATCTGTTTTGTCACATGGTTTTGGTCTCAAGAACTAGTCCCTTTAGCCCTCAGAGTTGAATTGTGGCGCAGTACTGGTGGTCTGCTTGTTAGCTTATTTGTTATTTGTTAGCTTTTGATCATCAAACCCTTACTGATTTATCACATGACATGTTGTGGTTCCAGGCAGTACAAACCTTTACTGATTGGACCTTTAGAGTCCCCAATAAAAGTAGAGCTGCAAATATAAAAAAAACTATCAATAGATTGTTTTCCTGTGGAAGTCATGAACTGGTGTCTCTAGTTGATTTAATGTCCAGGCCCGGTCAACAATCTGACTCTACTGCAGTTATGTGATATTTATTCAGGCCTCCAGGAACTACAACTGTACAACAGAAGTGATACCTTTAGAGCTGAATCAGGGTGCTGAGATGGCAGCTGTTTCCTTTTGCTGGCTCACAAGCTCAATATCCCCAGACCTATTAAGTGATAAAGTCGACAGTTTAGAGCTCAGCAGAGCATCTCAGAGGAACAGGGAGCGCCTTAAGGCTAATGGGGCACTAACTTAAATCACTTAAAAGGCCTTGACTGCATGCTGCCCAAATTAGGATGGGACCAGCACATTATATTTGCCATGATTATTTAGGATGCCGTAGTTTATATAGTCAGTGTGTAAGAATAAGATCTACACTTTAGTCTTTGACTGTAAACATAATACAACTCTGCATCTTAACCTGTGAAGGTCAGTGTAATTCAGGACTGAGAGGATATACTGTATATTTAGATTTCTTTTTTAACTTGATAGAAAAATCCCTCATTTTAACATGTGGAACATAAAGTCACCATATTGCTCTTCTTTAGTTCTCTGCTGCCATCTAGTAGCCACACACTGCATGCTTCTTTTATACTGTAGAGAACCAACTGCTTGGACAGAAACACATCGGCACTGCAATGACATGTTGTGTATCATATTTCACCATTTAAGGGGCAGTGTGTAGGATTTAGTGCTGGGGTATCCAAGCGTGTAGGAGAACTACAGTGGTCTTCAGGTAACAAATAAAATTACAAAGGCTCTTGCTCACATTTTTTCTCCCCGTTAAAGTTTTTTTGGGGGAGTTTTTCCTGTAGCGATATGAGGGTCCCAGGACAGAGGATGTACAGATTGCAAATTTGTGATTTATGATTTTGGGCTACACAAAATAAATATAATTGAATTTAATTGCTGGAGCCAGACTTTGGATTGTCTGTTCTGACCTACATGTTGGTCCAAAATGGCGGACTCCACGAAGAGGACCATGTAGGTATTAACAGCTCATTCTAAGGTAAAGATTTTTAGGTGTTAGAATAGAATGACCTGCAATGCAATGTGTTATGACACACTTTTTCACTTTGTAAGTCAAACCATGTACTCTTTGTTCCAGTAGTATGTATCCTGACATATAGCTGTTAATCACAATGCCATGCAAACACATTATTTTACAGCAAATATATTGTCCCCATCTTGGTTTTGGTTTAGTTTGTTTCCTGTTTTATTTGGGAGTTCCCTGCCTCTTGTGTCCTGTGTCTGTTTGACTTCCTATCTTTGTGGTTTTCTCTCCTTTTTTTCTGTGGATCACCTGTGTTGTATTAGTCTTGTGAGCCTGGTTCTGTTCCCTTGTGTTTCTTCCACCAATCAGCTTTCAGCCTGCCCTCGTGTCTGCCCACCTGTGTCTTGTTGTCTGATTAGTTTCCTGTGTATTTATAGTCCTGTCTTTTGTCTGCTGTTTGATGGTGGTCTCCTTTGTTCCTGTTAATAGTCCCTTGTGCACATGGCTGATGTACCTGTTTTGTGACATTTTGCTTCTTGGGTTTTTAATTACTACTTTTGTACTCACCAGTCTGGTAGGTTTTTGGTTTGGAGATTTCTTTATTAAAATTTCTGTTTATCATCCTTCTGCTTCCCATGTCTCTCTGTATTTGGGTCCATCCCTGTTGCCTTTTTGCCGTGTGTCCAACAGCATCAACAATGTTACATTAGGCTGGCTGTGTGTGTGTGTGTGTGTGTGTGCGCGCGCGCGCGCGTCTGTCTGTCCACAGCTAATCTCACATACTGCTAGACCCACCAGCCTGACACAACAGTCAGTCAAGCTCCTGAAGTTTGCGGATGACACCGCCCTCATTGGACTCTTCTCTGGTGGGGATGAGTCCACCTACATGTGGAAGATTGACCATCTGGTGACACCAGCCCTTATGTGAACCTGCTCACAGCCAGATTGTGTAACCCTGGGTTGATTTACCGTGTTTGATAACCAGCTTCTTAGGACCATTTAGCTGGATCAAGGCTGGTAAGGTTACTTAAGCCAGACAACCAGAAGATATCCTGGCTATGTTAAACTCACTGTGAAATACAAGCCCCTCGAGGAGATCTGCACTCTAAGTGCACTTCAAGTTTTCTGTCACTCCTCTGCAGTAAGCTAAATGCCAATTTATGTCTGGGCAGTTGGGTCAGTGTGTTTATTACCTTGTTTTGTGTTTAAGTTTACTGCATTGTTACGTGTCGTGTATGCTCACGGACAGCCGAGTTCCGTTAGTGCTGTGCAGAAATGATTATTTATTCAAAGGGGACCATGTACAGTTCAAACATAATTGTCACCATTTGATGCTCCGTATCACATTGTAGCTTTAAGCTAATTTGCATCTGTAGTCCCTTGGCAGGTCAAACAAAGACAGCACAAACAGTATAAAGGTAAAGACATGATACAAAGAATACCAACAAGAACACATTGTGTTCCATACTGCTGCAATAGTGTTCTGTTAGATCAGTCACCACGAGTAAGGTTGGGAACTAACAGTTAAAAGACCAGAATCGCGACTTACTGAATGTGAGTTTGCCAGTGTGTCTGAGTAGTTTCACACTTCTTCCCCGCACGCACGCACACACACTCTCACCACAGATTGTTGATTTTAGATATAGGCTCGTAATTGTATAGTAGTAGTTAGTTTTAGATATTATTTGACTTGATCATCATTATTATTGGACTTTAATAAATGCTATACTTTTAAAGAGCAGCTCTCTGTGATTACTTTGTGTGTATTGTGATATGTGGCCTGTGTTAGAATTTGAACCTTCACTGTTTACTCTGAATGTGGAATAGTACTTTGTCTATTGACATGATTGAATCCTAATTCAATCATTTATAGTTTGGTTATCGTCCCTGATCTCAGGGTGGTGCCCTGTTATTCAAATTAATAATGTTATTGACATTAATTCTATTGATGATTTACTGAAAGTAAATGTTAAGCCTGGCAAAGATGATAGAAAGACGGCTACAAATGGGGTGACAAGATTATTCAGTGTCCCGCTGAAGGACTCGCCCATGTCCGAAGATACCAGGGAAAGCAAAACCAACTGCCATCAGAGCAAGAGATGAAATATTACAAGTCTTATGCAACTAGAATGACGAAATGTCCACAGAGAAGCTGCAGCCACCCCATTAAGTTTAATTCATCTGCCCATCACAACTGTTAGGCCTTAATAAATTTGATGTCGGTCAATAAAGTAATGCAAGGTAATAAGTTAAACTCCCAAAGATGCTAGACTAATTGAGAAATGAATAAACTAGGATCTCCCTTATATTAGAATAATATGAAATTGCTTCAGCTTTCCTGGTTCTTAAACTCTCCACTGCTAAATGGTGCATTCATCTTTTGAACTAACTTTCATTGATAAACGTTAAACAAATCACATTTCATTGATGAACATGTCAGTCACATATAATCCTTTTAATTCATACATGGTTCACCGTTGGTCATTGTACTCATTTATTTGCTGTTTAGTATTTTGGTTTGTAAAAACATTGTATTTCCTTCACAAAGAACTTGATGATTTGCATCTATATGAAATGATAAGTCACTGTACACCATGCCAAGAACTCTACAACCCTGAGATTGAGACATCAAATTCTGAAATCTTAAGTTCTTTTCAAAATGGGGTGGCGTCCCAAATTTAATCTAATGTTAAACTAATCAAGCCATCACTCCCCTTCACTTTTTCTCCCAAATTCACGGGTTTATGATTATTTGAGTTATCATTTCATAGTTGAGTTAATTCATTATTAACCATTACATCTGCTAAAAGCAATAACCTCACAAATATCTGAATACAAAACAGGATTCAAAGTGTTCAGATATGTTGTTTACGTGGAAATTGTTGCAGCAGTCACTCAGTCTTCTTTTGATAGATTTTACAAAGGAAAGTTTCAGTGTTTCTAGTTATAGAAGCCTCTCCAGTACCAGCAGGTACAGTTGAGGCCTGACGCTATGAGCAGGATGACGAGCAGGGTGATGAACAATCCAAAGCCGATAATGGTGGCAGTGACGGCCCAGACGAACGTCCTTTTGGACATGTCGATCATGGGTGACCGGAGGGCCATTTGCACCCTACGTGCTCGCCGGCGGTCCTGAGGAGGATAGCGGGCCAAGTTGACGTTCTCCATCCGCAGAGAGCGGACCAGGCACGCCCTATGGTGGCTCAGCTGGTCAAAGGTGTGTTTACCATGGTAGTGGCCCATACCACTCTGACCTGGAGGGGGTCACAGACAAGTCTGAAGTCATGTCTGTTGAATTTACAAACTGAATTATAGGTTCTACTATATGGCGTAACTGTGTGAGACTGTCTGGTATTCATAAGTCCTGTAATGTGGGTGTTAGTGCACTCATATCTACCGGCCCAACCAGAGGGACGACAGCAAAGGGAGAAGAATGGCTAAAGATTTCAAAGACTCACTCCAGACATAGTTTTTTACTTTTAAGTGTGGATTTGTGACCCAACTTGACACCAGAGTTTTCATTTGGAGTCTAAAGCAGGTCCAGCTTCCTTTGTCCAACATATCTCATCAATGCTATGGTACTGACAGGTGCTTTTTCCTTTATAACACATGGTGTTGCCAGATGTACTGTTGGACCTGAAACCTGGCACTGTGCTACATGTGCATCAGATTGTATGGACGGTATGCACATGTCCCTACATATATTTTGGGAGGACAGAATTGTCCCTACCAATATTTGCGCAAACTTGGCATATAAAGTTGGCATTATCTGCTATCGCACACGCAGAAAGAGACCGAGGAGCAGAATCGCTTGTTGACCGCTGAAATGCACTTCTGGTGACTAAAGACGGCAGAGAATGTGGCGCACCGCGACATCTCCGTTGCGCCCGACAACATGTCTTTGGTCACTGCAGCAATGTTGCACACAAAAATTATATGAAAACTAAAATCGGACTTGTTGATATTTGCACAGTATTAGAAGATATTATCTAAAACTATTGCCGCTCTGTTGTGCCATTCTTATATGATACTTGATGTTATATTTCTACAACTCCTATATGCTCGGGAATGTGATGGTGAGACAGATTTGAGTTGTTTTATAACTTTTACAATTAAGGTGCTTACAAGTGTCGTTACAAGTTAAAGCACACCAGCACAAATAACACTGCTGGTTTGAATGTTTATGATCGAGGATCTAGCCAGCACTTTGTCAAAGTCCACATTTGTGTGGACAATAAGACACACAGTCGTGACATTTATGCCTTATCAAGTGTTTGTATCAGTTTTACAGAGTAGGTCGATTTTTTTCTTCTGGAAATATGACTTTATTCTCGTAATATTACAGCTTTTCTAAAAATAACTATTTCCCGACTTTCCAGAGAAGACAGATATGTGGGATATGTTTAATGTGAAGAAAGTTTTAATCATGAACAGAAATCTTGTTGAAACACATAAGAGCAATTCAATTCCAGAGGTTTATAAATTAATTCAAATGAATTTAATTTATAATTGAGGAACAGGTGCCACATGCACATCTAAAGAGGTTAAAGACAAAAAGAGGAGGGAAGAGAAAGAACTGGTGTTTTGACTCAGCAGAGATAACATTGAATGAGAAAAGTTGATCTGAGAGTACATTTTTGAAAGCAATACAGAATGCTTGAGAGCCTTACTGCATTACGCTCCATTATATATTCATATATTTGA